GTCCACACTGCGCTCTCCTTCTTGGGAACCACTCTGCTGAGTCTGGGAAGTGACGCTTCGAAGAGGCAGAGGCAGAAGATGGCACCCGAGCCCTCACACGCCCACTGGCTACCGACCGTCCTAGGCCAGGAGGTGCCCCTGGCCCGGGAGAGTTCACACAGTGCCGTCCTATGAGAAGGAGTCGGATACGAGCCCCGAGATAATCTATTACAGAGCCCACGGCAGCTTTTATTTATACAGCCTGGAGAGTGCAAAGCTCTTTGCAAACAACTCATTAATCTGCCACTTATTTTATTTATCAATCAGTGGGCTCCTTACACCTCACATCTCGGGTGGAGCCAATGACGTCACTCCTGTCACCCAGGCTACACCATGGATGGGGGGCACAGGGTCACGTGGGAATGAGTGACAACTGCCCTGGGAGCTGGGCCTGGATGCTGCCTCTATCAGGTGGCGTTCTGGGTAAAAGGAAATTATAAAAAGGAACAGAACTATATTTAGATTCACTTTCCCAACTTGAAAACACAGCGCATCCAGGGAAAGAAGTTTGAGACCAAAGCTAAGGCGGAATTCTCCAGCCGCGTGTGAACCAAGTCTCAGGCCAAGCCAGGGCCAGGCTTTCCGCGACAATGAAAACTCCTTCCCACGTAAATATGTTCAATATCCAAGTGTTGGTTCATTTGCTTGTTTGGGGACATTTTTTGTAATTTGCCAACAACAACCAGAAGTTCATGTTGACAGTGGAGGTGGAGGCCACAGTGTGACAGGCCTGGTACCAGCAGGGAGCTGAACACACAGCTCAGCGCCCCTCCCCCAGCAGCCCACCCGCTGGGACCCTCCCCCACCTCTCCACCCACACCCCACTTCCTAGGTCACGAGCCTCCCCCTCACCCCACCTCTTCCAGCGTCCTCAGTCTCATTTCCCACCCGCACAGTCACCCCCTTGGTTAGAAGACATGACACTAAGTTCTCCAAATCCCATTCTGGTAGGTCTGACCCTAGTGCTCGAAGCTCCCTCCTCCCCTCTCAGATGCCAGAATTTGCCCCAAAATGGATTATCCAACACCGACTGGAGAGAAGGGACACTTCTCATCTCAAACGTCACGCTCTATGCCCCGATGACAATGAACAGCCGAGGTGAGCTCCCCGCGCTGGGCTGCTCCCCGCCTCTCTCAGACCCTGGACACACACACACACGTACACACACGTGCACACATGTGCGTGCACACATGCACATACACGTGTCCACACATACACGTGTGCACACATGCACACATACACACGAGTTCTGCTATAGACAAACTTCTGTGAAAGCCACCGGCCATTTCTGCTCCGCAAGGCGTCTGCAGAGGCAGCCGGGAATTGTCTAAGTTCCTTCCCCTTGTCCCGTACTCCCGGCCTCACCGTCAGAACCTTGCCCTGTGGCGCACAGCTTCCGCCCAGAGCCCGACCCACATAGAGCACACATGTACACACGTGCACGTGTGCGCACACACACATTATTCTCCCGTAAGTAATCGCTTTACTGACAGGAGCGGCAGGCGAGACTGGAGGGAGGTGTCGAAGGGAACGGGGTGGTAACTAACAGCTCTCCGGTGGGGGTGCTAACCAAACACAGAGGAAAAAGACCGAGAGAACAAAGGGTGTTAAGAAAGCAGAAAGCATTTTCTAATGTCCTCCCGTGACTTAACTCCAGTGCAGGAAACGCCGAGCAGTGCCAGCGAGCCCTGAAGTTCTAAAATTAAAGCTGTCCGCCTCCCAGCTCCTGCTCTCGGTAAATCTTCTCCCGAGGAACTGGCGCACGGGATTTTTTGTTTTCCTAGTTTTTAAACCTGTGTGATTTTTGACATTGAAATAAAAAAACCAAGGGGCATTCACCGAAATAATCAAGGTCTTGCTACAAAATGTGACCTTTGACTTTCTCCTCCTCTTGCACCCGTGGCCCACTCCCAGCACACGCACACACAGGTAGACACGGCCTGGTGCTGGCAGACACGGGGCGGCTCCGGAAACAAAGGAAACGCAATGCCACATGGTCCCAAACCCCCCACAAATCTGTCCCAGGCGCAGAGGGACCCCCTCGGAACCGCCGGAGACCTCGCGGCTCCTCTGCGGGGCTGGGCCCGCCTGCGGCTCCGCCGGGCATTCTTCCTTCGTCGCGTTTACTTAAAAAGCACAAAGGTATGAAAATAAAAACTTACCCACACTCTGAGGCAAGAAAACACAGGGGCTCTTTCTTTTTTTCTCTAATATCCCCACGGTAATTTCTGACTCAAATACCTATCAATCAACCGTGCTGTCGCGCCGCTGCCGGCTCCGGGGGCTTGTGCCTGTGTTTCCTTAAACTTCCAAAAGGTTGGTGAGGCAGTCTCAGCGAGTTTTCCGACTTGGCTCTGAGTTTCCCAACCAAAATCATTAACAAAAGCCGCAAACACATGCCATGCCCGGCTCCTCTGAGCCCCACCTGCCCAGCTGAGCCAAAGTGTGACCTCGTGACCCCCCAGGGAGGACACAACACCCCACAAAACGCGCCCTGCGCCCGGCCTCCACAGGCCGGAGGTAGAGGGAAGCTGGGAAACCCTTGGTAGATGCAAGGGGGGTCGACAGGAGTGACACCACGAAGGAAGGTACGTGCAGGACCACCCCGTGACCGTGGGCCACCCAGTGATGGTGGGCTACCCAGTGACCTTCCGCTAGCTCTGGACCAAGAGAGAAAGACACTCCTGCAACTTCCCAAGCCGCGTGCCTGCCTCCCACCCACACAGGACGTAGGAGGCAGGGGCAAGCCTGCGGGGCCGGTGGCAGAGCCGAGCTGGGAGGTGAGCGGCTGCTGTGGGACCCCCGGGCGGACTCCCACCTTTAACCCGAGCGCCCTGCACCCCAGGCAGGCTTCTCCTCCCCTCCCCGCAGCACGCGGAAGACAGAGGGGGGAGGCCTTTTCTCTTTTCCTTTTTTTACTTCTAACTTTCACCCATGGATGCCCTCCGACCCAAAACTCTGTGTGTGTTTCCCCTCACCACGGGGCAGTGAGCCTACCGTTTTCAATTTACATCCTTGACAAAGTATTTTTAAAAATATATTATTCTAGAGGCAACATGCGAACCCTTAATTTATATTTTTTAAAAATCTCCAAATATGAATGTCGTTAAATGACAGAGAAATTAAAAAACAAAACACATATTCCGACAAGACATTACACCTTGGGAGAACGGCGTGGCCAGCGTGGCTGCTCTCCCACCAGCTCAGCCTCAGGAGCAAGGACCTCTCTCTAGCCCACCCGGCCAGGTCTCCGCAGGCCCGCCCCCTCCCCCCGACTCCCCGGGAGGCTTTAATTAGGAGGCTGGAATTAAACACTTTGGCCACAACATCCAGGTAAGTGCCCTGATGGGCTTCCTTTCAATAAAAATCTGATAAAGTATCCCCAAAAATAGAGTCTCTTTAGCCTGGATTCTCAAATATGTCTTTATGTCTTGATTCCATATTTTATAAATCAAGATCAGTGGACACAGATTAGATTAGAACCCAATGTCACCACACCAAATACTCATAATAAATAAGCATCAAGATATATAAAAAAAAAAAAGGAAAAATAAGAAGAAAAAAAAGACAACAAAAATGTGCATCTGTACTTGGGTTCCCTGCTCTAGGCGAACAGAAAAAGAAAAACTAAAAAGTCTGACAAACTGAAACAGCCCGTGATATCTGTATGCACAGCCCATAAATCTCTTAAAAGGTGTCTCGCAGCTAAAACAATGCAATTAGCGGCTGGCAATAAGGTCAGCGCGCGAGCAACCTGGCGGCCGCTGCCCGGAGCTTTGTCTGGGATGCGCTGTGCAGCGCAAACAGCACTCGACAAAGGAGCTGCTCGCTAATTTTTCATACAATTCAGGCCCCGAGTAATTACATAGTCCATCACACGGTCACATCTTGAAACTATTTATTTTTCAAAAGAGAAACACAGAGAGCTCCAGAGAGAAAGCCGAGCGCCTGCCCCTTTATGTGCGCCCATCAATGTGTATCACCCGCATGCAATCATATTTATTGTCACTTTCATCCATGTCATGCCCTTGCTTATATGGTTTAGATATGAATTATTGACTGTTACACTCCTTGTTGTGAAAAATAAATAAATAACGAGGCTGTCAGGTACTCGCCGCAGCGAGCCCGCCAGCCAGGCCCGCCGCTCACCTCCGCCGCCCGGGCCCTGGGCTTCCCGCCCTGCTAGCAGATCGCCTTCTCAACTCTTTCTTTTCAAGAGACGCAGAATCACCCACTTTGGGAAATTAAGGATTAGAATAAACAAACGAGAGGACATGGCGACATGTCCCGTCCGGAGCAGCTGTCCTTGAAGCACACCTCCCATGGGTGGCTGACTGCTGTGTTATAATTGTGGCTTTAAAATTTAAAGGCCCTCCTGGGATGTGTCATAAGTGTGTCAGTCCACGCTACGAGGTCTAGAAAGTAGAAGCACAACAGAAAGCGCGATCTCCTGGCATCACACTCTCCCCAGCCCAGCCGCCCCCCTGCTGTGCACCGCAGGCGCCCCGGGCGCCGACACCCCGCGGCACAGGTAGCAGCCAGCACCGGGCCCTCGGCCTGCTTCCTGTGACGGCAAGAGAAATGGAAAGGGAACTTTAAACAACTCCCCCCACGGAGCGTTTTAAATGTGGGCCGAAACATATCCTTTCGGAAACAGCCTTTTACTTTCATATTTCTCCCCGAAAGGCACTAATTCTATAAACTTCCTTCAGAGCCTCTATGTCCACCCTGACTTCAGGGCCCGGAGCGGAGTGAAGCGAAAGAAACCAGCAAGGCTTGCTCATAACTGTCTGAGAAACTTGGTGCTTCCCGTACAGGAAACAGGCCACCGGGACGCCTTGTGGGAACCCACGACCGATCTTGAGAGAACTCCCCTTCTGCAATTTTAATATTTAAATAATGGGCTCCTGATTGCCGGGGAAGTGAGTCAACTGGCCAACGAAAATGCTTAAAGGTCCTACCTGTTTTCTCCTTGATCTCACACAGCACGTTAAACAGGGCGGGCTTCATTCGGTGGCAGTTTAACGCATGTTTTCTACAAAAAAGAAACAATATCATAGCTCAGGTGGACTTTTCAGGCTCCAACTGCTGATAATGCACAGGGGCTAAATGCACACTCAAGCCAAAATTATATCCCAAGCATAACTCCGTGGCAGCGTCAGTGGTTTTATGGCTTAATATAGAGAACCCGCCACAGAAAAAGAAATCACGGTACTCAGCAGGGCGAGCAGGGTTTGACTACAGAGAAGCGCTCACCTAAATACTGCCCACGCAGGCAAAGCTGTTTCGGTGTTTAAGTAGCTTAATCAAAGTGGAATTCTCAAACCGAAAAGGCCATCCAGGGCCAGGCGCACGCACAGCCCAGAGCACGGGTTAACAGTTTTATAAAATCTGTGTTCACCACCACAGCCCGCGAGCTGCCTGCCTCTCGGTCTGTGTGTGTGTTTTCAAATTTAATTCATCCATGTGCTCGAATTCATTCCGCGGATTCCCCCATATTCTCATAAACACAAGATGCTTGAAAGGTCTTCTGAGCAAAACTGTCAATTTATAAAATTTCAGTCCCCGAGTTAAAGAGTATGGAAATGCATTGCCAGGGGGCAGGCGTGCCCATATGGGGAGTGAATTCATTTCTCTGTGTTCACATTATGTCTCTTGTGCACACAACGCGTATCTGCAGGTGGTAGAAATTAAATTATTTACAATTAGGACCTAGCACCCGTTGGGGGGGAAATAAGTACAATCCTGCCTCTTAGATTAGCGGTTTACCTGGTTCTCCAGCGTGTTTGCATTCAGAATGCACTTGCAGAACAAAACAATACCTTCCCCTAATTTTACTGTGGAAGCACTTAGCAGAAGGATATTGTTTTGGAAACAAAATACCGATCGTATCAGCTATTAGTTAAAGGAATTCTGTGTACTAATTAAAATTAATTTGTAAAGATAAATGGAAACCCCTGGCACTTGAGATGCATGCAAATCTTTTTTAATCCCTTTGAACGTAAAAAAAATAGATGCCGTGCTCACGAAGAACAGAAACCAGAAGGTCTGTGCTCCGCAGCAAAGGAGGAATACGCTGAGAGTATCAAAACAAACACATACATTGTGTCTAAAGTGCTAATGGGTTACTTTGTAGGTAACGCATGTATGTAAAGAAGGTGCAACTACAGAAAGAAACAGCAGATCCAGTATCTGCCGAGCAGTTGCGTTGTTAAACCAGAGAGAAAGGAAAATCAGATCCACTTTTGCCGAGTAGTTACATTGTTAAACCAGGGGAAGCCTAGAAGTGACCTGGCTCTGGGGGTGCAAAGGGGTGGAAAGACTTTAATGTAGCAAAGATCTGGGGGGGGGGGGGGCTTTTAAAATAGTTTTCTCCTATATATAGGCCCAAATGCAAAGAAAACACAAAATCAATAGAGCCTACACAGCTTAACAGAAACACTGCATTTATTTCCACAGCACATCAGTGAGGTTAGAGAGGGAACAGAAATTTCCCTAACCCCAAACTGTGTCTGATCTCTCTTGGCATCTAGGCCATTAAAAGAGGGAACCCGCCAAGCCTCGGTCACCCTCAGTTTTACAAAAAGGAGTAGGACGAAACATCAGAAAAGTGGGGAATCGCCCATCTCACCGCCCATCTCACCGGCCCTCCACTCCACAAACTTGTGAATAAAGCAGCTTATTGGTATGACAGAGTTTATTTTTCTGGAACAATGCAATGGAGAAATCTGTTCCAATTCAAAAAGCGCATGCCAGTGGGAACGCTTCCACTTACCATACCTACTAGCTTTTCTTCAGAAAATAAAATTCTAAAAGAACAGCGATTAATTGGGGAAAACTTGCCCCAATTTAAAAAAATTTAGAACAGCTCTGGCCTTTGAACATTTCCGAGTTTTCAAACCCCCGTAAGCCCAGCGCTGGGAGTTTGCATGTGGCATGTCTAGCGGTTGAAATAAGAGTGGGATTCCTAACAGCCACGCTTTTAACTGTTTCTTCTCATTTCTCAACTCAAATTCCTATTTTCCTAAGACAAAAATACGTCTATTGATGCCTTTCCCATGTGACTAAGTCCTTTGAGGTATAGGAATTGTGTTTTGATGTTTTAAAAAAATAAAAGCAAAAAAAGACTAAGATATTTAACAAAGCTGGGTCACTGTAAAAACATCTGTGGTCATTGGATTGTTTAAATTCTTCCTTTCGAGCTGGGCCTTGAGCAAGCTGCAGTGGGTTGCCACTGAGTCTGTTTCATTCTGGAAGGGAGTTTGCTGTAAAGCCCTGGAGTGGAGACTGCGTTCCTGGCAGCCGTATAAGTTGAGGAGCCCACGGCTTATTGGTTATGTTTCCTTATTAAAGACCGGCTAATCCTCCGCATCGGAACAGGTCACATTCCCAGGCTCCTCCATCTCCCAGTTCACTGAGTGGTCCTGGAAGAGGCAGGGAGAGCAGGCTGGGTTCTGCCCCCACCCTTTTAAAGGATCAGACATTCTGTGCCACGGAGGTCAGGAACCCGACTCAGATTGAGACAATAAAGTTAAGCTAAATGTCCTAGTTTCTTAAAACTAACAAATACGTCTAAAAGTAAAATTACCTCTTTTATCTTTCCATCAGCCTTTTTTTTTTACGATAATTAAATGGATACAGAGCGTTTTCTGGAGAGTTGACAACTAGTGACAAAGAAGTATCCTGATTATTTTTAAGAGGGGAGAAAGGGGAAGAAATAAAAATTAATTTTGGAGGCGTGCATCCAGGAAAAAAAATCAAAAGTCTCTAATTTGGGTAAGGAGTCAACTAAATGTGTAAATAGCGTGATCCTGGGACATTTTATTTTGTCGTGTCACGGGGTCCCTCACCCAGAAGACACGGAATCTGCTGAAAACTTGAGCATCTGCTCGCTCCGAGGCACTTTGCC